ATTAGGCGCAATCGCACCTGTTGGACATAAATTGAACACGACTTAGGCTGTTTTTAGAGTTCCATTGTTTTGCAAGCGCGATTCCAATTAGGAGGATGTGAACCAAAGGGCAGCAAGCCTTCCTTGAGTTTCATGATCTGCAATCGATGGAAAGGGTGAATCGAAGAGCAGGTAGTTCGTCTTCCATACTCGTCGCAAGAGGAGGATGTGAAATGAAGAGCAGTTAGTGTGCCTCAGACTCACCTAATGATCTTTTAGATGGGGGCACTATTCAATCCAATCTTCCGACATCAGACCAGTTTTACTACCGATCTTTAAAAAAGGCAAAAAAATTGTATGGAAAAAATATTGTACCTTCAACCTCCAAACACGAATATCGCATCGCTTGGCCAGGAATTGCCTGGCGCTCACGCCACGGTCTCAAGCTTTGCGCTCCAATCGCTATGGAGCGCGCGTCCTTCACGCCCGACACACTCGTCCAAGACTGCTGAGGGGAGGTCTGTGTTTAGGGTGTTCCCGAGAGTTTTTCCCTTCTTTTTCTACTGAGGAGCTACTTATGGGATGCTGGTTCATAACGGAGCACCAACTACCCGCAACACTTGATCGCAGGAATTGTCTTTAACAGTGCACAGGGCGGGGCTGGAGGGTAGTGATACTGGATGCCGCCTCCATGTTCCACCCGCGCTGCAGCTCTGCCAGCCAAGCTGATAACCATAGCTAAACGTGCAAATTGTGCGCTCCCTCCCATTTCTGACTGCGCGTTCTACGGAATTTTGAAATCGAAGCAAGTGCTGCACCTTGGGGATGGTACGAGCAGATCCGGGACGGTGTTACTGCTCCCTGCCCCCCTGCACCAGTCCAGTTCCCACGCACTCATGAGCGGAGAATGTAGCGCACTATTGCAGTTGCGTCCCCCTAACATGACAAAGGGAATGATTGTACACTGTGTCGTTACCCAAGATCCGCAATCGAGCTTTTGTTAGTGTTCTGTTTGAATTATTCTGCATTCACAGAAATGAGTGGATGTTCACTTGAGGCTTTCCTCTCATGCGGCTCACGTCTGGAGGATGCTACGGTTGCTCGTTGGGAGAAGGTAGATGGCGACCTGCCTACACATGCAGAAACCAACCGAGGAGTGCTCAGATTGCCATCGCTCAGCCGGGATGACGAGGGATTGTCCGTAAAATGCACATAAAATTTTGCACCAGTCTGGAACTTCCTCGCAAAATTTTGTTTTCAGGTACCAATGCACCGCAGTAGAAAATGACACAGTCACACAATCCGTTATTGAGCTGCACGTGGACGGTGAGTGGACAGCTGCTGTGCTCTGACTTGTAATTTATGAGATATGGGTGCTTCTTGTATGCCCGCTATCTGCTCACTTACCCAATCCTACTCCGCTTAACTGCAAAGGTCGTGGCTAACCGCCGACCCGTCTAATACTGGGCGTTCCTCGATTGCCAACAGGACCGCATTCTTAGTACGATGACTTAGAGTAGCTAGCCAATACTGGCACCGAGAGTCAGCAACTTTGTCCGCGATAAGCTGCCGTGCAGAAGCCCTTCCTGGCGCTATTTGGCGACGGGGGAGGGGCATTTTGCACTTTCATGACTTCTCATCGACGTGTCGACCCATCTAGACAGCCTCTT